TTAAACACGTTTTGGAAAATCGGCCGGTCGGCCGGCCGGACGGCCGGACGGTCGGTCGGTCGGCCGGTCGGCCGATGCTTATTTTGATAACCCCCCACCGTCGGCCTGCGTCACGCTTTCTGCCAATCATAGGACTTTTAGTCCTGGGCAAGAAACTTCAAGAGGAAAAAAAAAAAAAAAAAACTACCTGCTAAAAACAAAATTTCTTTGACACGCCTTGACACGCAGTACTCTAAATCTATCATGAGGTGACCATCTCGTGTTTTTTTTTGTGTAAAGATATTAGACTGCTAGCTCAGAGTTGCAGGCAGAGCGAAGTGGGAAACAAATCAAAGCACTATTAACCTACTCGCAGTAATGTTTTAAATTGCGATTTCTGCGAATGGTTCTTAAAACAGGTGTCTGTGAAGGCTGCCTGGTTAAACTCATAGTAATAATAATAATTTTCGGCTGTGTGGTGTGGGTTATATATTGTGCTTCTTTGTTTGTTTTTTCTGTGCTATGCTCCACCACTCTGAGCACAAAGAAAATGGGTTTTATTTTTTAAATGATGAACTTTTGTTTTTAAACACCTAGGTTTGAACGAGAGACAGAAGTGCGCAAATTACGCCTTTTATCTATTACTGCCCATTATGGACTAGTCGAAGCTCTTGAATCAGGCTCTGCGTGGAAGAAAGTCATGGCACTTGTACGAAGAATACCAACTGATATTTTGCCATGCCCTATAAAATACACATCTAGGCACATACAGTAAACATTTAACGCAACATTAAGTTTTGACTTTAGTCCAGTATTTAAAATTTACGTCATGCAAATACTGTGTTATTTTCTAGCATGGTTCAAGATGCTGGTGAGAAGCAAAACCGAAGTTGTTCAGAAATCTTCCTTGAAGAATGGGGTTGCAGCGGTAGAAAACGACCTACACTTGCTGATCTACTAACCTTACTGAAAAAGGCAGAATTGTATAAGGCAGCTGATTATGTTGCAATCCAGCTTCTGAAAGGTACGCCAATAAATAGACTTTTAAACAATTTTCCATGGTTGATACGTTCTTATCAATTATGAGTAAACATTGTAGGCTTTATTAACACTTAAATGCCTTTTGTTGGCAGAATCCCGTCCAAGTAGACCAGTTTGTGGTCCAGCTGCTGAGGTATTAGTTCCCACTGAGATGTTAAATGGGAAGTCTGCTGCTCCAACAGCTCCACCTGCCTCCAATCCTAATGAGGTATGTATCTTATGGATCAGTGATTTGTAGTAATTGTAACACATGCTCTAAGTGATTCTTACAGAATTACAGAAGTGGATGGCCTGAAGTTGCCAATATACCGGTAGTTTCTTTGACGATTGATGACGAAACAGCTAATGTTGAATCTACCAAAATTGAACAACAACTAGTAACAGTCCCTGTTGAGCAAATTAATATGTAAGCCATTACTATATGTCTCTCCTCATAAATGTTGGCCATGCATGCACTTATAGATTTCAAAAGCTTGTACAACACATATTACTGTTCTAATAGTTTTTCTTGTTCCGCTCTAGAAACACGCCTGAACATATCCCTTATAAGAAGTTACAGGCTATAACAAATAGTTTCGATTGTAATCCTGTTGGAGAAAATAATGGGAGGCTATTGGGGAAAGGAGCCTTTGGTTCAGTGCATTTAGCAATCGAAGATAATATTTTGACAGCTGTAAAACGTTTGAATGTCGACATTGTTGATATTGACCGACTTTTTCAGAATGAACTAGAAGCTTTGTTAAGGTAAAGCTTTAATGAACCACAGTGCTGGTCTACATTTTATTTTGGTCTTATAATTTCCGTGTATTACAGAGTTGAACATTCCAATCTGCTCCGTATGGTTGCATATTCTAAAGATGGACCAGAGAAGTGTCTTGTTTATGAATACATGAGTCAAGGTGATCTAGAAGAAAGACTTTCTTGCAAGGTACTGCTAATTGTTTTAAAATCTTGAAACTGTTCTTTTACATTGTTTTACTCTTAATTACTACCAATCATATTTTCTCCTATCTCTGAAGGGAAGGTGGTCAATTCCTCTGCCTTACTTGGTCAGAATCAAGATTGCTCTCGGCACATCAAATGGTCTTCAACATTTGCACGAGTATCGGGATCCACCTCTTGTGCACAGAGATGTTAAAAGTGCTAACATTTTGCTTGACAAAGATCTCATTCCTAAGGTCAGGAAATTCTATTGCAAAATATTGTGTTTCATTCATTTTGTGTTGTTATTAAAAGTTATATTTAATCTAGCTAGGAGATTTTGGTCTCATACGACTTGGTGATTCCTCTGACGGAGACTCTTCAGCTATTTTGGCATCAACAGTATTTGGTACTTCTGTATATATGGCCCCAGAGGCCATGCGAGGAGAAGTAACAGTAAAGAATGATGTTTTCAGTATTGGAGTGGTACGTAGCTTTCTTCATATCAATTATCATTTTGGGACTGCTTCATTAATTTGTTTCTTCTTTAACTCTATCTCCAGGTCCTGTTAGAATTGCTAACTGGTTTGTCACCCTATGACGCTAATGGAGAGGGGCTAGACTTGGTGGGTAACAAGTTTGGAGTAGATATGGATTTGCCTATGTGCTGTATATTCGGGTGCAGCTTAAATTCACATATCTACAGGAATTCTGATGATACTGAAAATTGTCTCAAACTTTTCAGGTAACCCATGTTATGGAAATGTGTGATGGCCATAGTCAATCCAATTACACACTACTAGATGGCAAGGCTGGAAATTGGACGTCAGAAGGAGGGATTGATTTATCAAAACAACTTTTTTCTTTGGCACAAGACTGCCTGGAAGACAAGGACAGAAGACCTTTTATGTCCACAGTTGTTCAAAGATTACAAACTATTATAAACTCATGATTATGATCAAAGATATACTTTAATATTGAATAATAGCATTTATATTTGTAAAAAATAACAAGGGTAAAAAACTGATGAAATTACAAAACTGCATAAACTTAATATTAACACAATAGTTTTAGAAAAATACATTTCAGATAAATTGTGCTTATTGTCTGTATCACTGTACTGTTAATCTATATCAATATTCAAAATCTAGTACGTTAAAATACTGACAATGTATCACCAGAGTTACCTTCACCAATCAACTTGAAATAGCTCGTAAAATTAAATGATCAAATAACCTGATAGATATAAAATATCTCTGGGGTGATTTCCTTTCTACATATACATTTGCAATCATCAATGATACAGATAATATAAAAGTTACATCTTTGATTTAAGTGAGCTCATCAGTTTCTCTAGTTTCATTGCAATTTGCAAATTACCAGTGATCTTCAGTTTTCCTGTCATAAACGCAGCTGATGGTTTCAGTTTACCTGAAAAAGAAATTTTAGTAATGTTATGGGGCATACAGTTAACATCATACTTTATTTATGGACTTGATTAAAATTCTGTAGGATGAACAGACCTGAAAACATATCAAAGAAATTTTTGGAATCCATTGATAATGTGCAGTCTGGTGCTGCTTCTGGTTTTCCCTTGCCACTTGAACCACTGCCATTTTTAAGGTCAATGTGCCAAAAGCCTTCTTCGGCGCCTAAAACAAAGATCACATTACCGGTAGATTCAAGATAATTAATGTTGCACTCTTACAAATAAAATTTAAAGCAGTGTGTTACCTGAAACTTGAAACAAATAAACACCTTGAACTTTTTTCACCAGTTCAGGGTTAATTTTATCTTCAATAGTCTTAAAAATTTTAGCAATTCCCTCACCACCTCCTAAATTAGGTTTCATTTTACTAATCTCAAAGGAAGTGTTAGGGCTATCATCAAGGAAAAAATCTGGCATGAGTTTGTCTGCATAACCTGTTACAAGAAAATGTTAGGTATTTATATATTTATAACAATCATAACATTTCATGAGGTCACGTCAACAGAAAGTACTCACTGGGATCACATGCGTAGTGTGTGAGATCAGTCACGCCTTCTGCCTTAAGAACATCATCATCAATAAAAAAGTTGCCGCTACAAGAACGTGATGGCTTTGTAAGAATGTGGTATGCAGCATCAGCCATTATCTCAGGCTTACGAGAATGGCGTGCAGAATCTGGTCCGGTCAGCATTTCAATTGCAGCAGTGTGGATAGCTAAACAGTGAGAGAGGAAAGAAACAACATTTTTTTGAAATGTGTCTTTATTGTGGCAAGTAATAAATAAAGCAAATAACAAACCTGTTCGTGGCCAGAGTGCATTAACAGCAATACCATCTGATGCAAATTCTTCAGCCATACCAAGAACACACATTGACATGCCATACTTAGCCATGGTATAAGCTACATGGTTGCTGAACCAGTGTTTTGACATATTTAATGGAGGACTGAGGTTGAGAATATGAGGATTTGTGCTTTTCTTCAAATGAGGGATACAAATTTTGGACCTAGAAAAAAAGAGGAAAATGCAATTAGTTGCTTAGAAGACCTGCTCACACAACACCACACCCACACTTATTAAAACTTACACTAAGAATGTTCCTCTTGTGTTTATATTCTGCATGAGATCATATCTTTTCATTTCAGTATCCAAAGTACTGGTAAGGGAGATAGCACTGGCATTATTCACAAGAATATCAATACCACCAAATGCTTTGATAGCTGCATCAACTGCTGCTCTCACTTGCGTTTCCTCTCGTACATCAACAATGCAAGGAAGGCATTTCCCTCCAGCAGCTTCAACTTCAAGGGCAAGATTACACATTCATGAGCAGTAACCGTTTTAATTTGTTTATGAACAGACTATAGATTCTATAATCTTACCTTCCTTGGCAGCTGTATATATAGTGCCAGGTAATTTTGGATGGGGCTCGGCAGTTTTAGCAGCGATAACAATGTTTGCACCATCTTGTGCAGCTCGTAGAGCAATTGCTTTCCCAATGCCACGGCTTCCTCCGGTAATAAATAGAGTACGCCCAGCTAATTTCCTGATAAAAAATGTTGGTGGGATTACTCAGGTGGTAATTAGGAAAACCAGGTGGTAACCAACAGTCAAACAACAATCTAATTGTGAATTTCATAAATATGTCTTGCTTTCTAGGTTTTTAAGTATTCAATAAGGTAAAGGAAAAGACTTACCCCATCATTCTGAAGTCTCAGCTTCTTTGCAAACAGACTCTAAACAGAAAGGGAAGTGAATTAAAAGTCAGACTGCGGCTTTATTATATGGTGTACTTCAGCAGATTGCTTATGAACTTTGATCTTTGATCCCAATCATACCATCAAAACACCGGCTTTGTACAGCACTTGTCACGTCAAGGGCCAAGACCCTAGAAGTACGTAAATTCATGAAAATGTCAAAATCAACTTTTAACTTACCTCGAAATAGAGAAAGACTGGTCTCTGCGACGTACAAGACGCTCTCAACTGATTGTTTATTGACTTTGATTCAAGGTTTCATCAAAAAACGAATACTACTTGTCACGGAAACTGTGATAATAAAGAAATTACGAGTAGGAAATGCAGTAGTAAAACCTAGGCAAGACCTACCAGTTTCTCATTCTGTCAAAACCGCCTTCCTAAAGAAAATCTAGATAAACACTCATATTGCCAACTCACCAGTGGAATATTCAGTTCCTCCTTACATTTAGTGTGAAATGGATTCTTGAAGGAATCAAGTGAACTTTTTTGCGTTTAAGTGTCAATTTTCCTCATCGATGGAATAATTATACTTTCTTCAAATGTGTTCGAAACCTAAGTCCAACGGCGGCCCTTTCTATTCTGTCGTCTACTGACTGTCATCATAGATTCCTGTCATCTGCCCGCTGTCAATGTTTTTGTTCGCCAAAAAAATGGATAGTGGCGATGATTAACAATTTTAGGAACAAGCATGCGGCAAGTTTCATGCTCTAATCTTTGTGGTAACCATGAATTAGTGTGCGTACTCATAAAATATGGGTTCGAGAATCAGGTAAGGATGTATGGAACTCACCTCATTATCTGCATTCCTTTGGGTTATATCTACCAATATTCTACTTCATTCAGTGTTTTGTGTGATTGTGAACAAGTTTTCTGCCAATTTCCACAATATTTTATTGTGCATTCTCTCATAAAATCTTTAATGTATTGTTGATAAGTACTCTCACATCGCTGGCTATGGCTATGTATTCTTCAGCTGTGTTATTACTTGTCATTTCTCTGCTCACTTTTCCTCTGTTTTTCAATCCTTAATTTTATAAGCCACTTTCTAATCATGTTGCTTTGGTTTTCTTGACAATCAATTTCACATTGTCGTACTTCCAGCTGGAAGTCTGAGACATAAACCCTTTACTCTTTTATGTAGGTCATTTCATAACGACATTGATATTATAGCTATAAATCTGTTTGAAAATATATTATCAACAATGTAATTTTGTTGTCTTGTGCCTTTCTTGTGAAGTAAGATGCAAAACCTCTCTGAAGAAAAAAAAACAATATTTTGCAACTGTTTTTCTTATTTAAATTGAAACTTTTGTTCCAGAGAAAATGTTAAGCACTTATTCCAGTGTTTCTGTGAAGTAGTGCAACCTCAACCACCTGATAAAGACCCATGGATTATCCAAAAGTTTCCTGAACTGTACAACGATGAAGAGATATTAAAATCTGTCCCTAAATTTGCATACCCATGTGAATTTAAAAAGTATGTGTATTTTCAATGTCAGATGGATTTGTTTTTTTACCGTACGGTATACCTTTAACATTTTTGTTTCAGCACTGTCATTCAGCACTATTCATTTGTCTTAACTAGCATTGACTCTAAGTGGACTTTTGGATTTTGTCGCCATGATCCTAAAACTGAAACAGCCTTGGTCCTACTTAGCTTTCTTCCTTGGCATGAAACTTTCTATAAGTAAGATATTTTCTTATAAATATATGTTACAGTCAAAGCCCTGTTTTACCACCGAAGCAGTTTGGTAAAAGCCCAATGTAGGATGGTCGATTCGGACTTTGACCGGTAATATTTGTATGATCGGGCTTTTACCATGCCCGAAACGGTAAATGCTGTACACAGATAAATTTTATGTTCAATTTTGTTCATAAGGACATTTCTTGCACTTCGGTTTGCAGAGGCACATACCCTTTGTGTACCTCTGGACCGCCCTGGCGTTCAGCTCTGCCTAGGTTTACCTACCAAAAATAATTCAAGACCATGAGTGTGAAGTACTTCTAGGGCGGGTAGGGATTCACAAAGTGCCTCTGTAAGAAAGACTGCAAGAAATACAGTAAATGGCTAGGAGGCTGCTCTGTGGCTGTGAGTGCCACCCTAGTAATAACTGGGCCACTCAAATTTCTGTAAAATAATTCTTAGAAATCAAATTTATCTGGTACAGCATTCACCGTTCTTGGCACGGTACAAGCACAATTATACCAATATTACCGGTCAAAGTCCGGATTGACCATCCTACATCGGGCTTTTACCAATCCGCCTTGGTGGTAACTAGTCAAATCCCGGATTTACCGTTCTCCGGGCTTTTACCGTAACATATATATTTATTGTATCTCCATTATAATGCTCTGAAGATACTTCTAATTATTTAATTTTTTAATGCTCTTGGTCTACTTTTTATGTACTAGAGTTAATAGATTTTCTTATCTTACAGATTACTGGACATTATTGGAGAAATGGTAATATCCAGTAAATCTGGAGCTGAACAGCTATGGACTTTCTTGGATGCTGTGTATAACAGTAATGTACCAGAACAGGGAGGAAGATTGCAAGTTCCTTATAATCATGGCCTTAGTGTAAGATATATCTATTCACATGATAACATTAATCCATCCACCTGCTTGAACCTTTCCCTTCTAATGATTGATCTCTTCATTTTATCAGAACTTCACCTGTCAAGCTCCAAACCAACTTCTACTTCCGAGCATTCCAGAAAATGTATGGTTTTTTATATTTTGCTTCTCTAGTTTTTGATTAATATATATTGTATACTTATATTTTTCTCACCCATATCAGCGCAATCTTATGGAATATTATAGTGCTGTTGATGGAACCAATATGATGATAATATTTGCGTCAATGCTTTATGAGCGCCGAATTGTTTTCACATCAACCCGTCTGAGTAGATTGAGTGCTTGTGCACAAGCTGCTAACGCCATTATCTATCCAATGAACTGGCAACACATTTTCATCCCAGTCCTACCTCTTCCATTAATTGATTATCTTCTTGCACCTATGCCTTTCCTAATAGGAGTTCCGACAAGTACATTCAAGGTTAGTGATGCTCATTTTAAGTAAACTGTTTTCACTTTTTAAAAATGACTTGAGGACAATGGTTATTTCTGTTTCAGAGAGTTCGTAAAGCTGATATGGGTGAAGTAGTTGTTTTGGATGCAGACAGCAACTCTGTAGAGACACCATTCAATGATTTAGAAAGTTTACCAGTGGATGTTGTTAACACACTTAAAAGAGAACTCAGAAATCAAATATCTCTAGGGGATGGAGTGTCTCGTGCTTTCTTGCGGGCCCTTGTGCAACTCATAGGAGGATATAGGGATGCTTTGAGGTTTCATCAAGGAGAACGTATCACTTTTAATGCTGATGCCTTTGTTGAGTCAAGACCTCCAAACATGCAACCTTTTTTAAGAAAAATGCTGCAACTTCAAATATTTCAACAGGTATTAATGTGTGACAATATTTCAATCAATTTTTTAAAATACATATTAGCAAGTAACATATTGAAATGTTTTGGGGTCTAATTTGTTACAGTTTATTGAAGAACGACTTGATATGCTTAATGCAGGACTTGGTTTCTCGGATGAGTTTGAACTGGAAGCATGTAATTACTCTGACAAAACAAGTAGAAAATTGAAACAACAGTATAAAGAATGGTTGAGCACTGTGCGAAAAGAAGGTTCAGCGTTTCTTAAGAGTGTGAAAAATAAAGCCAATCCTGCTATGAAGTCGGCAGTTAAATCGGTAAAAATAATATCATTTCATTTAACACTTGGCATCGGTATTATTGACCACACTCCCTGTTCAACCAATTAATCTATCTTCTGTCATTGGTCAGACAGGATGAGGCAATTTTAATAAATCTTAATTTTGAAAACACAAACTATCAGTGATCCACTAACTAGTTAAAACATTGTAGATTTATCTATCCTTAACTTTTGATTTTACCGCTGTAATATTTTTAGGTCAAGGATCGAGGGAAGGACGTAAAAAGTGCTTACAAAGTCTTAATTAGATCTAAATTCCGGGAGCTCCAACCACCATCAAGAGAGTACCCTGAAAATGTAGACAAAGATCTACCTATGCCTAGGGAGAGGTCTAATTCTGCACCAAACACTCCACCTCAAAAAAGAAGACCAGCAACTCTGTCACCATTTATCAAACTCAGCCCCACGGCATCTGTTTCATATAGAAAAGACCCATCGCTTACAGGAAGGAAATCGTCAATGCAAGAACATAGGTAGATGATGCTGTTATTTGGCACCTGTATGTTTAAAATGGCAATTTTTCGTCAGTTTTTCATGAAAATTTACCTTGTACTTGGCAGGAGTAATTATTCTACACTGAGCCCTGGTGAGGCCTCATGTGGATCAGTTTCCCCTCCTGATTGTGGTTCTCCCGGTTTGAAATTGTCACCCATTGACACAGATTTAATGGGAGAATTACAGGAAGTAATTTTCCAGAAGTGTTCTTCACTAATGGGTGACCATAAAGGAGAACCTGTCCCTCCAGTGGATCGCACGGTATGATCTAATCAGCATTTTGTATTGTGTTGTTTTCTCAGAATCTAAGATACTAGAGATTCATTCTTCCTACTATCTGAAATGAAAATTTTGGTTTTATTGCATGCTTTGGATGTATATTTAGTAGAGACCGGCTTAAGTCAACTATTCAGAGGGCGTAGGTGGATAGAGTAGAGAGGTGATTTGGTAGCTTGCAAGGGCAAGAGGCAAAAGCGTTGGCATTCTCTGAGCACATGAACTAAGTACTTGTGTTCCCATCTTCAGACAGAAGGTCTCTGTGTCAGAACGCGAGCCAAACTACAGCTCCGCACCGGTGCAGAGGCTGCTTGGCAATAAGGGAACGTTTGGCGCCCAGCGCCAGCCTTCCCTCGCGTTTAGCCACCGCCTAGAGTTAGAGTTGACTAGCCGGTCTCTGCTGAATCCGACCGGTTTATGTCAACATTAGCCGACTAATATCCTCGTTGAAGAGTGCATTCTGGCCTCCGGACTTTAGCCGCGGCCCGCGAGTAATGTTGACTTAAGCCGGGTAAAGTTGACATTAGACGACTATCCGTTACAACGGATTTTGACCGCAACAAATACGCCAAAAATGCCTCGAAATTGGTATGGTTTTCATCAAGGTCTGTTTTGGTGTTTGCCTATCACAGCTAAAGCCGGTGCGCAGCTTTGAAAACTTTGGCAGCAGAGCCCAGGGATCCAGCACTCTTGGCTTTTATCCGCAAAGCCCTATTAGTGGTGCAACATGTATCACTCAGGCTCCACCAGCAAGGTCTGGTGTTCAAGTATCCTCCCCTATTGCTTCTTTTCATACTCCTCCAAAGCCATTCACTCCTGAACTAGAATTTCAACAATTTCCTCTTGCCTACAGCACCCCAAAGGCCGAAACCAATGCCTTCACACCAAGCCCTGATGATGTTTTCACATCCTTTGCTCAAATACCCAGTGGGAGGCGTTCAGCCATACCAATTTCCTCATCCTCTGTTCCTATCTCGACACCAACTATGCCACTCACCGCACCACCAACGCGTCCATCCCGGGCTGTCAAGGTATACTCTGTGTATGATGCTTACTATCCTTACATCTTAAAAAAAAAATGTTTGATCTCTCTAGCTGTTATAGAATTGTACAAATGTTATGACCACAGACTTGCTTGCTAATAATTATCTTGTTTGCTCTGTTGTAGGCCTCTCAAAGTCCCAATGACCTTATCAGGTTAGATTCCACTCCAAGCTTTGAAGATTTTGATCCACTTTCATCAAATAATGCTTCTAGTGCCGTTCAGTATACCTATGGAGGACCAGCAAATATTAACAGCAGCAACAATAATGTGCCACACAAGCTGAAAGAACCGTCCATATCCAACCCTCTTTATCCATATTTTGCTCCTCTAGGAAACACAAGCTTTCTTTATCCAACAGAAGTTATGTCTCCACATAGCAGGAATGCTGCATCTTTACCACCGCAGCCTGGTTGCAGTAGCAATATAAATCAAAGTCGGTTTGAGTCCCAAGATTCTGAACTCCTAAAAGAGTATGGATTAGACTTTAAGAGCCTCTCTTTGCAAAACGGAGGACATTCTTTGTCTCCTAATGGATCAGTTCTGAAACCCATTGTTACTGATCCATTTGAAGAAGTTGAACGATTGGTTAAAGACACTCAGCAACAGCAATTAAATGCAAATCAAAGCATGTGGACGAAATTTGAGTAGCAAAAATAGCAAAAATTGAATTCATTTTTTTGAAAATTGTTATGTATAAGTTACATTATGTTACTGTCCCTAGTAAGAGAACTGTTTTGGGTTGTGTTCACAATGGTAGGCTTATCTACCTTAATTGTGCCATTTTTTCAATCATACCCTATGTAGAAAGAATGTGTTGATTTGTCAAGGCATTTGAATCATTCAAACATATTTCCCAGATATTTTACATTGGTCAATTTGTGGACACCCTCTATCAACCAAATTGATTGTAAAGCTCGCACAGTCCGTCCTTCAAATTCCATTGCAAATGCAACGTTTAAAAGAACATCCTCCCAAAAAAGCAGTATAGTGTAGCCTAATGTATTTTATAATTTTGAAAATTTATGAATTAAATTGTATATTACCTTTTTTGCCACTGATCTTTTTAAAAGAAGTTGTCAAAGGAATATGGATGTGAACCACTCGTTTAAGTTCCTACTAATATGTTTTGCTTTCTCATGATGAAAGCAGGGTGTTAATCTATCTAACATTGGTCAGTGAACAAAGTATTCACAAATTGTATTGCCACGCCATGGTTGCACTTAGAAATTGGATTTAGGTGATAATTTTGGTTTGTGTGAATTGCAACAGAAATTTGATTTGGATTTTTTGATGTGGTACTTTAGTATATTTGCGTAGGTTTACTTGTGAAAGTGGCATGATTTATTTTGTTTATGGGTTTCTGTGGAATCATCACATAATATAATTAATTGAGCAAGAAAATAAAATTTTAAAATTGTTGCAATTTATATTAGTACAGCACTGTTTACTTGAAATCAGTTTCCTTTGAAGTGTAAATGTGTAGAAAATAATGTAGGGGCATATCTCAATATGTACTAATACATTTAAGATCATCTTACTTCATAACTATAAAAGAAAAGGGGTATGTGCCATGCCAAAGATTCCTTGAATGAGAAGTTGGGATATGGCCTAATTAAAGACCAATAGTTAACCAAAATTATGGTAAAATCATATTATCCTCTTTCAAGTTAGATATAACATAGTGTTGTACATACTGTTTTCATAGTTTATATGTATTTGTGTAGAAAGTTGATGTGATGTGAAAGACCAGTTACTGATTTTTCATGGACTGTCCTAATTGCAGTAATTGTGGCAAATCTATGTATTACTAAATTCATTGGTATCAACCAAACAATCTAAATTGTTGAGCTTATTTCATGTTTCAATTGTGCACTGAGATTTATAAATGTGGATATTAATTGTTATGATGGACCATGTTACTGTGAGCAGCAGCAGGTTTTTGAATCTACTATCGCTTTTTGGAGATTACCTTTTGTCTATCACTACTTATAAAATTTAAAACTTATTTGCCTTTGAAGCAGCCATTTTTGCAGACCAGGCTTAGTTTTCTATGCTAGTCAATTAAGTTGATATTTTCATTTATTGCTCGTTTTCACCTCATATAAAATATCTTTGTAATTGAAGCTGGTTCTCTGAAAATCACCAGTGTTCAATCTTGGTAACCATCATGCCCTCATTATTTTCCTTTATCTGTTGTTTAATTTGAGAGTTGTTTTTACCTTTTTGTCTTGCCTTATGGGTCTTTCTGCTTTCGCTGGATTCATACTTTAGTCATTACTATGTCATATCTTTTTAAATGCAATAGCTCTACCCAATGCAAACAATAATTCAGTGAGTGAGAAATCAAATTTTGGAATTTCAAAGAATTTTCTTTTTTGCTGTGATCTAAAACATCACTGTGATGTATGTCTTCAATGTTTGTTCTTTTCGGGTAAGATGCAGAGAGCCTAGTTCATCCATATTTCATATTCTATAAATGTATATTTAAGTTACTGAGAATGTGATATTTAATTCCAACACACATCCACTGGCGAGGATATGCAATTGTTTGACATTAATTTTCTCAAATATGTGAACATCCAGAGGGAAATGATCTGTCACTTGTGACAGTGTTATGTACATTGTTTTCTTATATTTTATTGTCATGTTTAGATTAAGAGAGTTGAGTCCCTGTGGTATTCTAGGATACAATAGTTACGAAACATTGTAGTATGCTTCATGCCAGGTCTTGTTTTATGTTTGGCACACGGTGCAGTTTGTATGTTAAGCGTAATAGTGTTAGAAGTCGAGTAATTTCACCATTAAGTGACAGTGGAGAATACTGTCATGGTACATTAGCAGACTGGATTAATTTTCTGTACATTACTTGAGTAATGTTGACATCACCCTGGACAAATCCTATCAGGTGGTTAATTAAGGTTGCAGACATTACCCACTTCTCCTTACCAAATCTCTCTTGCTAATTATGAAATTTAACATAAACCAAATATGACCTGTGTAGGATCTTCCAAACTGTGATTGGGCACCTTCGTGCACAAATGGCCAATCTCAGTTCTTGAGATATTCTTTTGTTGATGCTGATGCTGACTTGCTGTCGTGCTGATCGTCACCACTTGCCTTATCTTGATAGAACCATGGTCATTTGTAAATGGTCTAGCTGTCCTGAACCTGTTCCTTATCACAAAATACTGTGCACAAAATGTTATGTGTTACTTTTCTGAGAGTAGTCTGCTAAGACAAAGTCTACCTAGAATTGCATTAGAATAATTCTGCAGAATGTAATGAATATAGTAAGTGGGTAAAAATCTAAGAATGATTTAGCTCAAATGACTGTTAGGTTGTAGTGTGACATAAATGTTTAGTTGTGCCCACTTGAAAAGAACACAAGTCACATTAGTATGCTGACACTTCGAGAGCTAAACTGTATCTAATAAATGCTTTCATCGTTAGGTTCACAGGTTTTGACATTAACTTTTTAAGTCAGAAACAAGTCCAGTTTGTATTATTTCTTTTAAATAATCTGTGTGATATTCAGCAAAGAAAGATAGACATTACATCCAACCAAGCTTTATTAGGTTGTTATACTGTACAGAACTGAAAAATTGTTTGTATCGAGTTTTGTGTTAAAAATGTCATAGTGATTTTGACCACGATCTGAATGGATGTGGATAACACATTGATCAACTTTAATTTCTCATATGTAGAAAGAAAAGCATCGTAATGACAAAAAAAGTACAACCTCATTAATCTCAAGTATTCTTTTGTCTTGTAATTACTGTGTGTTAAAAGGGTTCCGTAGATATGTTTATAATTTGAGTGTAGAGAAGGGTGGACTGTGAAAGGGATATTGGCAATTGGGACGTTATAAGTCATGGAAATGTCAAAGTATAAGACCTGTTGATGAAGCTGTGATAAGGAAGACTATGTACATGTACTCAATATATGCCTATTTGGCTCTTGTATATGTACCTATATATATGTATATATATCTATATATACAAACTGTTTCTCAAATGAAATTATTGTCTATAAATTTTTGGCTTTTTATTTTTTTTAGCTGATACACTTGTAATACTCATGCAAAAGCAGATTCAAAAATTGGGAGGAGGGGGAGGGGGTCTTTTAGATTGTTATGGAAGTCTAACTTATATGAAAGCAGTGCACTTCACAACTGTCATATGATGAAACACAAAAAGCAGATCCGTTTGAAGTGAGGAAACGTCCTCCAACTAACATTGAGTCTTTAATAGAGGAGTGAAACCGGTGTTCTATCTGTAATGTTAGTGGAAAATCAATGAGAAGCAGATTTGGCGTATAAAATTGTTTCAAGAAACTAATTTCCTTCAATGAACTTTACCATTGGCTGTTCCTCTCTGATCTGCCAAACTCGTACAAGGGAGTCCTCTCCAACTGATAGCAATCGACCTGAGTCTGGCGCAAGATCCAGGGCAGTAATCCAGCGAGCATGAGCTGCCACTTCTACTAACATTGCTGCAGTTGGATGGATACTAAAGAGCCTGATGTGCCCTGAGCCATATGCCACAACTATTAACTTGTGCCAGATGTGAATGCTCGTGCAAGCAAACCTGTTCAATCAGTAAGTAAGTTAAAACCAATATCATATCGGAATGCAAGTTGGAAACATTTTTTCGCATCCACATAGAATAGTGAATTGCCTACACAGATCACAGTTTTCAAACACACCCATGTTGAGTAAATTTACATTCTATTTTTTTGATAGAAAACCCCCAAGACATACCCATAAGAAGAAAATGTTGCATCTTTGTGAAGATGATCTCTGTTCACAGCCCAAACAACCACATTACCATCTTGGTCACCCGAAGCTATTACATCATCAGTCACCTGATCACTAGGTCCAGCAATAGCTGAAATACCATACTTATGACCTCTTTGATTTTGAACTAGTACAGCTTCTGATTGTTGATCAAACAAATGAAATATGTAAAGGGAGCCAACATTGTTTCCTGGAAATTGAAAAAGTAGACAGAAGCAGCCTGCTAGGTCAAAACAGATCCAAGCAAAAAACCTATGATGGTAGTTAAACAAGCTAACATACCCATAAATTGAATAAATATGTGTCAATGCAGAATTAAAGACAAACATACCAACACACAAAAGGTTGGATCCTATCGTAGCTAGTTGAGGACTAGACACCTCAGCTGAATCTAAACCATCTCTACATGGATGAGAAAAGAAACATTTCTCAGCACTGCTGTCAAATACTTGTATCCCCAATGTAGAGGCAATAATAAACCAGACCTCATTTCCAAGTTTACACCACATCACCTGCAATATGTTTTGTAAAACTGTAAGTTTAAAAAAAAGGATAATTATTATTGTTGCTTATAATGACAAACAGCATACCTGTGAAACTTGGGCAAGGGCTGCTTCACCAGCAGAGCTTCTTACAGCAACATATTTAGTCTTCTGTTCCTCACAGTCAATAGGAATAATGCTAATGTATCCTGGATGGATTACAGCAACCTGATCAGCAAATCTTCTATGACCCATCTGGTCTACTGCTAGATTGTTTGGAATAGCAGAAGCTGTACTCATCAGAATCAGTGGTTTTTCTTGTCGGTACATTGTGGGAATATGCTGTCAACAAGTTGTAACGCATTCAACGATCGCATGATGCTCGATAAAAGTATTTCAAATTGCCATGAAAAACCATCAAAATGTATATAAAAAGGTATACTCTTTTCTTTACCAGTTGTCTTCCCCCGAAGAGTTCGATTTTCTGCTAAAGGAATTTGCCGAAATAAACAAGTCATTGCCAACCCACACTATAAACTTTCCTCTTAGAGAATAAGACATTAGGGTAAAAAAAGCAACCTCATTTCCCCAAAACTCGCATCCCAAATAAAATTGGATTTCTCAAACAAGTTACACATAAAACAATAGTCATCACGTGTCCCTTATTAATAATCAAATTCACTAAAAGGTTGTCAGACAAACAAACACAACGCTACGCGGTGGGCGCGGGGCGCGGGTGCTCACAGAAATATATAGTGTTAAAAGTTTTCAAGCTTACCATGCCAGGCTGGTCCTGTTACATGTTTTAATCTGGCAGACTCTTAATAAAAGTATTCGACTGCACGAGAATTTCACTGATTCTTAAAACGTTACATAAGTTAAGTAGAAGACGTGCCGAACGAATCGCGTGACTGTACTAGAAAATAGCAGCGCGAACGTTCTTACAGCAAGAAAGTGACCAACCTTCTCAGTACAATTTTCTTGAAAAACAGCTTCGTAGCTTTTATTGAGCGATGAATTAATTTTTTTAATACGATAACTAAAATCTTAACTATGTTGTTAATATTCTTTCGATGAAAAGTGAAAAATTTGCGTTACTTTGCTCTACTGAGTTTTCATGTACCGTTGGTACATTCCGCAGTTGGCACGAGTGATGCGTAGTGAGTACCTCCAAAGTGTGAAAGAGGCTTGCATCATGTTGGAAAATCTCTGTAAAATGTGAGATTTTGTTGTGATTATGAAGAGAGCCAACAAAGTTTATGTTACTGGGTGCAAAGATTTATCGTGCTTTCTCCTTGGCATCATGTGAGAAGACTTATTTGCTTTCTTTGGCCGGCGTCAAACGGTTTATGAGGGTGGGCGCTGCGTGCGGGCCTTGCCCCAGAACGTGCTCGTCTGGTCCTTAACAAAGGTATGCCGATAGCCGTGTCTTAGCCGTTTTAATAAAGACAACTGTTAAGTTCTACGTCCTCATGCACCAAATTCCCTTTTGTATGAAATCCACATCTACCCCCTGCACTAGAAGTATGCGGACATGTCCAACATACAAACGTTTTCCTTATCTCACCTTCAATATTCGTTCCGACGCTTGAGCCTAATCCAATCACGCAAACCACGCTTCTGAAAATCTTCGTATTAGTTGTTAACTGATCAGTGATTGTTTCCATTTTCACAAATATCGTTCCGCGTTTCACCGGAAGTGATTTGATTTTACTTTGGTGGAAGTTACAGCTGTGTTTGGAAATTAGAAACTTGTCTAGAGAGGTTATGTTTTGGCTCATACGTCGTATGCTTATCGGCTTAAGAATGTCTTCTAATATCTGCAATGCCATCACATTTTTACTAGTAATTATCAATTCTTTTGCGTCCTATCACTTATTGCTGTCGAAATCACCATTTCATTTCATGTCTTATTGTTATGATAAACACATTGTTTATCAAGTTATGGAGGGAATTCAAACCATCCAATCTCAAAAACTTGTAATTTTGTTGCTTGTCCATGAATATCCTTCAGAATGACTTGACAGTTTGCTTAGTATCTCGCCTGATATTTTTTGGTGTCAATTCAAATCATTTGATATGTTCAATGGTTGTTGCAGGTCTATTCAATATGGAATCTTCATCTCTTAATGGTGGCATGAGAGATCATCAAAAGGTGGCTACAATTTCCGCTCCCTTGACACCAAATCGAAAGAAAACCATGAATGGCTCCACTCCAGGCAATGGTAAAAAACTGAGAGTTTCACCTGCTGGCCAAAGTTATGCTGTCGGATCTCGTGTAGAAGCCAAAGACTTCAAAGGCCATTGGTTCGTTCTGATCTGTTATGTAGTTGTCCAAGCAAATTTTAAATTTTAAGATAATGCATTATATTCTAACCCTGTAATAAAATGTCCATTTCTAGGAATCCAGCAACTGTGTCAGAAGTTGACTGGGATGAACGGGAGATTTTAATTCATTTTGACAAGTATGAAGAGTGGATGCCCATGGACAGTCAGCGTGTTCGCCCCTATAAAGAACCAGAGTAAGTTCAATTGCATTTCCTTGACAGCTCAAGGATGTAAAGGGCATAGTTGTTTTTATTTTGATTGGCCCATTTCAATATTACCCTTTATATCTAGCATTTGTCAAACCATTGTATTTTTTCTTTTGAAACCCTTCATGAAGATAGTCGTTTGCATATGAAGCAATTTTAAATCTCTACCAAAGCTCTGGCAATCTAACCAAAAGTTACTTTAACTAACTTAAATCATCTACAGCTTTATTAGAGTCTGGTAGATGTAGTAAATGTTCTTAGATCTTTGTTTCTCGAAATATCAATGAATTAAATGAATGCATTGGTATGTCTTTAATGCCCCTAGAATATTTTGTGTGTGTGCTGGGGTGATAATCTTTAACTTTGTAACAATCAAGACTGTTTAGAAGTAAGTGGCTTACAAGCCCTTTCCCCCTCTGTCTGTGTTTCCTTTATTGTGATAGAACTGTTCTCTCCACTAAACCCTAATCTAATCAAGCATGTTATGGTGGATTTTTTTTTGTGTGTCCCACTTGCTTACATCATGTAAATTTGCAGCTCATTTTTTCTCTGCTCATCCCCCATCTTTTATCCTTATCTGTAGCACTGGTCATCTGTTTTAACTCTCATTTGGTGTTTTCAGTGCTTCAAGCCTATATCCTGCAAGCCTGAACCTCGGCAGAATTACTGGCATGAACGGGCGCTATTTTCCTGAGTGAGTGTTGGTGTGTGCTGTGGCTTTGTTCAGTTTGAAATGTTGTGTTAGAATGCATTTTTGAGTAGAATGTACACTTTGGCAACAAATTGTGTTGAATCTATGCTCTCTGCTGTAGTTAAAATTAGTTTTCATAGTAGGTACTTGCTAAGTTTCAATTTTTCCTCCAAAAGTTGCTCTGCCTACGGGAACCAATCAAATTATGAAAAAGTGGATTTCAAGTTACAGCGCAATACTGCTAGTTTTGATTAATATTCTCTTCTACTTACTTTCGCCAAAGTTCTTCACAAAGTTATTTTGAAAGCAGAAACATACTGACCATAAGTTAGTGAAAATTTCAGTTGAGCTTAACTTCAAATACAGTTCAACATAGATATAGTGTTACCCCTCGGGAAACGAAAATCGCGACATTCTAAACGGGTATAGATCCCATTCCCATAGGTTCAATTGACCCTGTAAATGGAATTTGCGACGCGACGCTATATCCCGGCAACGCTAAATCCGGGTTCAACTGTAGTAGGTGCTTAAAGATGCGGTATCTGTCTCATGCCTTCAAACAAACCTAACTCATTGAGGATTGCTTGTAACTTCATCTGGTTTCAATCAAACTTGGTACAAACCCAGAATGAGCAGTGACATTGTGTGAGAACCGACCATTGAATTTTTTTTATACCTATAATTTGTTTGTAAGTATAGGTATTTTTCATTCAGCCTCCCCTTTTTTAACTCATTCTTTGGTTCAGCTCAACTGTGAAGTGAGCAAGGTTGGCTCATTTGCCCCAAATTATGTTTTCGAATTATTAAAATTAGAGTTCTAGGACTGGAAAGTACATCAACTTTTACAATGAAGTAGCGGTTTGCGCCACGCGATCGAGCGGCTGTGGCTGTCTATTCTGCCATAGTGGAACAAGGAACAAGGTACCTTGTTTAAAGCTGGACGGATCCTGTCATCGGAACATATTGTAGTCGTTCGACGGCGAAGCACCCTTATTCAAATCAAATTGAGTTTCTTATGTTAGTGAAATAATGAAAGATAACTCTTTATTCTCCCGCGCCGGAACTACAGTAACACCCTATTCGGCGTTCTACCTGAACTCATTTTATTTTCTAAATTAGATAGTTTGAACAAACGAAGCCGCGCGTTTGTCAAATTCTCGCTTTTTAAAGTGTGCTTGGCTTTATATTTTTCATGACATTAATTAGTCACATTAGCCTTTTAAAAATCCCCTCCTTAAAACAAAAGTGGTACGAGAGGGGAAAGGGGGGAGGAGTGACGGAAGGGGTGGGGTTAAAGTGAGGTTATGGAGCTGGGGAAGAAGGGGTACAGCCGTGAAAGGTAACATAGCCCAGGGTCTCTCGGGTCAGCTGGTATGTATCAACTTACATGTTTCGTGGGTCTGCGTGAGGTGTCCGAAGTAAACATCCTTAAGTCAAGCTTGCCAATTAATTCACTTTTACATTCCGTTTTTTGTTACTATGGTTACAATATGCAGTATTTTCCTTGACAACGGTATCTCTTTTGCTTGATTCTTTAGTCTTGTTGTCAAATCAGTGGGTAGCTGTAGAGGTGTTTCTAACATCTCGCTTTCTTGCATCTAGGAAGTCTTGAATGTGTTAACTGTTTTAGTTACAGTATTCAGTTACGACTTAGAGTCAGAGTCAAATTAACGTCGTGTTTACAACAGTTAAACGAACTAGGGATCATGATGAAATGAGGTTATGGTTGTCATGTTGTTGTTTTTGTTATTGATATTTGGTAGCAGTAGTTGCAGCAGCAGCTGCTGCAACGCGTTAAGCGATGTCTGACAGAAGGGTAAAGTCAAAGCAAAGTGCCAGTGCTGACCCCAAATTGGTCGATATTGAATCTCAGGGTCGAAGGTAATTTTGCTTGCGTTTTGTAAAGTACGCTTTGTGGATGAGTGCCTGAATTAGTTGGTGAGAATTGTTAAAAGTGCCCCATAACCTCTAATTACTAGATACCTATCTTTATGCTTCTGATTGTGATATTCCTTGCTTAAGCTTATAATTTCTTCATTGTGGTTACCTGCAAAATCTCACAGTTCTGTATTTGCTTCAATATTATTTTTGAAAGTACATCTTAAAATGTCAATTTTTCGAATTCATCCTTCTGTGTTGAACTGCTTTCAGCAGATCTCTGGTTAGGTTCAGATCCAACTTTCCCACTCCTTTCTTTCCTATAACGTAATATTTCTTTTATTTGTCAAAGTCTTAAACATACATTTTTCTTGTAGGTGTTTCGTTAGAACCCCTTACAGTTGTTTGTAGAATTCGAAGTATTAGGGAGACTACTAGAGAAGAATTCTATTTTTGTTCATTTTTTATGTAATGATTTGAGTTGCTTCTGATAAATGTTGACACCTTACGCTATTTTCTTGTATTTCTAATAATAGTTGCTCAATTTCAATTTTTTTTAATTTCTAGATCAAAGCCTGTGGAGAGGCGATTTAAAGTTGGAGAACAGGTTATGGCAGCTTGGACTAACAATCGGAAGTATCCAGCTACTATTGCCAATCACCAACCCAATGGTACTTACAACAATATTTCCCCGCACTTTCTTATTAACTTTTTAAGCTATTCATTATTTTTTCCAACAATTTATTTTAATTTTTCACAGACCGCTATGAAGTGATATTTTATGACGGATTTGCCAAATCTGTAAGAGGGAGCAAAATTTCTAAAATGAAGGAGTCTGATTCATTGGTGAGTTAACTTATTTCACCACATTTGCAGCTATTTGCTGATTCATTTTCTTATCTCTTTGTCTGTTTTGTGTGTGGTTTTCAAACAGGCAAAGCATTCTTTGAACCATTTAAACAATAAGGTGCCACCCATTCATAGTAACCATCTCCAAATGCAACCGCAATTTCTATCTCAACACACTGCTCTGAGTAATCAGCTCAAAAGCCAACACCTAAATGGCAGTATGAATAGCTCTATGCTCTCATCAAAATCTAGCCTTCAAGCTGGTCAGAGTCAACTCGAAAAGCAGCTTCTTCAACCACCTTCACTCCCTGCAGCTTCTCAGTATCCATATCTTAGTCCTACTGTGAACAGTCTTCGTTTTGATGAGAACATAGGCACAAAAGAACAACGTCGAGAGAGAAAGAGAAAACACAATGTGAAAGAACTTTTCTCTACCAAGCGCCCTAGAGGATCTGAAAAACTTTCATCCTCTAAAGTGCGCGCTGAGAAGAAATCTGGTCCTGCCACTTCCCAAGAATCTAGTGTAGCAGCTTCATTATCAATGCCTACTAACACTGATCATAGTCAAGTCAACGGGCTGTTGCTAGGTGTTGATCCCATGTTTCCTGCAAATCCCATGAAGGTTGAGGGAATTCCACCTCCATCATTGAACCACAGTAACAAAGACAAAACTTTATCAGATCTTTCAGAAACAGAAGGAAAGAAGAAGCGGAAAAGGTTAAAGAAGAAGCACGATGGTAAGATATATATCTTGTTCTGTGGCACTTTTTTTCTTGGATAGTATTTGCTCAAGGTTTTCTTTCAGGTTTTGGGTCTGATACCACAGAATCATCTTCCTCTCAAAAACGTTCGAAACCTGTCTCATCTGATGATGATGAATGTAGCATCCAGTGGACTAATGGAGAACCTCAGGGTGAAGCTGCCTATGTTATTGAAAGCGCTGAGGGTATGTTTCTTGTGCTTAGCTGTTATTCTTTCTCAATTATTAAATAGAATTTTGGGCGAATTGATCATCTTGAATTTCAAGATATGGAAAAATATCTCGAGATATCTTCATTAGTATACTTAGCTCTTTATCCTTAAACTTGTCTTTTGTTGTCCTAGGATTGAGAAAATCCATAATTGTAGATGACCGAAGGTTGCCTGTAGGCTGGAGCAAGCATGCTATACGTCGCCAAGGTGGAACATCGGCAGGAAAGTGGGATGTCTTTTTAGTGAGGTTTGTACAACAGTCTTCAGTATGTCCGGACATGTGCTTTGTTAATTTTTAAGGTCTTCAAAAGCGAAAGTTCTTCTATGTCCTACTTTGGTTCACTCTAACACTCCTTCGCCTGGTAGCTAATTCCGAAAACTGTTTTCAAGCCAATTTTAGAAACACACATTTGAACATTTTACACTGCTATAAGAGTGTTTATATATATAGAAAGGGTGCATGCATCATACAACACTTCCCTCAGCGTTGGAGTCTAACTGTCAATATCAATATTGCAGCCCGAGGGACGGGCGCAAGTTCCGTTCTCGCAACGAACTTCGGTCATACCACGATGAACGTGGTCTCCAGTTCCAAGTGGAGCGTTTTGATTTCTCCCTTGGTCGCAAAAAGATGTATCGTCAGAAAGCTGCAGCAGCAGCCAGGGCAGCTGCTCAAGAAGATAGGTGAGGGATGCATCATGCTCTATATCACCTGATTACTGTATGCTGCTCCTTGCTTCTTCTTGCGCTTTTCCAACACAGTATTCTGAAGTTTTCAAGTTTGTCACCAGCTGCTCATACCAAACATGTTCGGGCATAGGTCCTGTTTAGCCATAAGCCAAAGAGGTTGTTCGCTTCCCCCTTTCACATAGAGGTGCTGCCTTGAGAAATATTTCTCCATTTGTTCTCCATTCTTTGTCAGTTAGATTTCCCAAATTTTCAGGTCTTAATGTGCTGCTGATAAATTGAGGAGCATATGAAGTCTTATGCAATGGAATGCATTTCCTCTACATCTCTCAGTCTAAGAAGTTGAGCTTTCCTTTGTTTCCAGACCTGATTCATCTTCACCGGTTCCAACTGCTCAAGGCTCTGATGCTTTGAACATACCCCTCTCTCCGTCATCCCTCGCTGATCATTCAGCCACACAGACACCAGGTCTTCATCCTCCTGCGCCTCACTCACTGACTCCCCAAGTGGTATCCCATGGTGTCCAGCGCGTCAAAACCCTACTTCCGAGGCGAACGTCGTCGTCATCAGGATCTCCTAACCGCAGGGTCTTATCTCCACCACCACCTCATGCCGTCACACCTCAGCCCATAATGCCTATCATCCCCTCCATTGAATCTCTCAACAAAAAGAGTTTATCTGCTGGCAGTGATGGATACATATGTCCCAAAGATGGTTGCGGAAAGAGGTTCCGAAAAGAGAATTTGCTTCAAGTGAGTGGTTTGATGGTTGTTTGAGATGGTGTACTCGCAACTAAAATGCAATCAAATATATGGTCTTCTAGAATTAGGTTAGCAAATTAATTTTTCCTTCTACTTGTAGATGCACATTAAGCATTATCATCCTGAATATACTGCATTTATGGGTTCCACTCCCAATGTTGCTGATCTTGCCTATGCAAGAACAGTTGGAGAATCTGTAACTGACACTCCCAACAGAAATAGGCCAGGTCAAAGCTCATTTATGGAAAAACTTGAAAAGATATCTCGTATGGAGGCCAACAGGAAAGCAGGTGGCGAAATATCTTCTTCTGTGTCTGAAGCACCTAGCAGTCTTGAGGCAAGGTCGCCTACACTGGGACAGTTGTTGAAGAAAGGGTAAGCCTGTTGTTTATGCTCTTCTCAGTTCTTTAAGTGTCTCTTAGAAGGCCATTAAATGTATTTCGTAATCTTATCATTTTAGCCCCATGCGAAAAGATTCTCTGGACGGGACCACCGCAGCAGCTCAAGCAGCAGCAGCTTGGATGGTTGAGACTGCTAGTGATTCAGCTGCTAACATGTCTCCTCTACCAGAATCTCTGCGTGACAAGACAAGCTTCATGTCTCAAACTGTCTCCTCAGAAAATATCTACATCAAAGACAAAGTGGAGTGTGTTAGTCGACCAGTGTCAAGAGCTGCCGGCCTTTCTTCAGAGTAAGTTAAGGTTTGAAAGATTATTGTAATCTAATGTTATCGGTAATCTAATTTTCAAAATTTCAAACATTACAGCTGTGATCAAGATTCCTTTGTGGAACAGAATGGTAACAGAAGTCCATGGAAAGGTGGAAGTCATGATGGCATAATGTCAGCTAGTGCTTCATCAAGCCCTGTCACTGTTCAACCTCCTCCATCATATTTCTACAGTAAAAAGAAAAAAAGTCGTATTCCAGCTGAAAAGCAGAGTACTGCTATTATCAGTTAGTAATTTGTATCTCTAATGCTCTCGGTTTTAGTCTGCTGTTAACCAACTACCGGTAGTATAGTTTTGATTGGAAAATTTCTCATTTGATTTTCAGAAGTAGAAGGAGGAAAACCTACCTCCCCACCCATGGAACATCTGCGGCGAGAAGAACTTATAAATTGTACTTGTGGTTTCACAGAAGAGGATGGGCTCATGATTCAGGTTAGTTAATAGGGAAATAAAATCTTATGATGTAAGACTAGAATATTTTTCTTAGTTTAAGGTAGTTGCAATTACCAATAAACTTCTTTGGCAGTGTGACTTGTGCCTTTGCTGGCAACATGGACTATGCAATCAGATCGAAAATATTGAAGATGTACCTCAGAAATATGTATGCCAGATATGTCAAAACCCTTTTCGTGAACGCAAAAGCCGCCACTTTATTCATGATCAAGATTGGCTTAAAGAAGGTGTCTTGCCAAGGTAAATTGATGGTTCTTGATGTTTGCCAAATTGAACAGATGTCTTCTGTCTGCGAAACATCTTTTATCATGTCTAATTAATCTTTCAGCCTGCCATTCACTGTCAAGGAAGCAGAAAAAGTACAGCAGCGTGAGGACATTCTGAAAAGGTCTCATGACCTTTGCTCCTTACTTTTGTTGACTCAGAAAGTTATTCACAGTCTCCGAGTCAAAGTTCACATTGCAGAGTATGTTTGAACTACTTTACCGATCAATTTAAACATATCTGAAGATCAAAGATAAATCAACTTCATTGTTATTACAGGCAAAAGGATCATCCCAAACTTTACCTTTGGGCCAATAGCTGGCAGACAGAATCAATGGGATGCCCCACACCACCCTCTTCTCCGATCCAGGAAACAGAGCAGAAACAAGAAAATTTTGGTAAGAATTGGTTGGGAGTTGTTTCGTTTTTCTTTTCTCTCTACTACAAGGTTAAGTTGTCTCCTACTTACCCATTTTGTTACTGGCTGAAGTAACATTGGTATGGAGGCCTATCTCGCATGAAGTTTGCTTTTATTTAGAGGTGGATGTAGTGTAGATCAACTTCTTTCCTCTGTAGTGCAGCTTCCTTCTCTTTAATTTTGAATTTGTGCTCGCTAATTAGTCCTTTTTAAGTTCTCAAGTAAAGCTAGTATATGTGCACTTCCTTGTTTTCTCATCTGAGTATAAAGTCAAAGAATTTGAAGTCTTACATCCAACTGGACAAACTGCAGTGCTTTTATTTTGAGTTCCCTGAGTACCACTTAGTGAGACTCAGACTATATTGAAAGTAATAAACAAGGGTGAAGGAAAAAACACAACTAATTTTGTGGTAAATATGAAACTTGTTCAACACAGAGAGTGTGGTAGTGTTGGGGTAATACTTTTATCTCAGTCTGTTTTGGCTGTAAGAGAACGAGAATGAGTATTGTCTTTCTATAATATTATATTCTGGGAGGCTGTGGGGAAAAGGCTTTCTGCAGTCCCCTGTCATCGCTCCGTTCGAGTTGTCCCGAAGGCAAAAACTTGCCCCCCCTCCCCCCTTCCGCCCCAGTTTCTCCTTTACTTTGTTAAGACTTCTCAAAATAAAACTAAGCGTATTAAATGTGAAAAAACATCATTGTCAAATCAGATTCCAGGGTCTTTAATTTTTAATAGTATTCTTCAATCTTTGTAGATGTTCTGTCTTCTAAGATTAGAATGTGTACCTATAAGCTGGGTTACGCACCTAAAAAAAATCTTCAAAATTTAGTGCAAGTTCTCAAAATTAAACCTGGAAAAATGTCATTGCTTTAATTGAGAAGAGGGTTTTTTGCTGTACTATGGTACTACTGTTAGATCTCTTCGTGTTACACTGCACTGAGAACAATACTCATTCCTTCTACCACCAAGTAGATGTAGGTAGAACGGTAAAGAAAATGTCCATAATTCCACTTGGAATTCTACTTGGATTTTAATTTTTAGGACAAAAGTGGTGGTGTTAAAAATTGATGATTCAATTTAGATTCCCATATTGAGGATGATGGCATTTACCTTGTCAGGTTCAAAACAGACCGAATTGTAGATGCTATATACCGTACCTGTAGATTTTCAAATATTGTAGCACTCTATGTTCTTAAGTAAGAATACCGCATCCTTTCTTTGTGAAAAGTTAACAAACCAATGTATAAATCTCTTAAGAGGTGACACTTCATACTTTGTACTTTGTATATGGAGGCTTATATACTGAGGGGACACAGTTGTTGACATGAGAAATGTGACAGGTGTCATGGGGAAAGGCAAGAGCCTGCTGCAGGAGGCTTTGCTAAATGGCAGTCCCCTTCAGCAGCAGCTTCAGCAACAGCACTTCCTTCAACCGCACCAGTCTGTGGGTGAGTCATAGGCCCAGAACCGCAGTTGCTCTCCAGCTAGGAATGTGAATAACTTGCTATTAATTTATGTAATGTTTTTGTTGTATTGTTTGTTGACATTAGTGTTAGTTTTGAAACTGCACAGTTTTTTTCTTGATAAGTTCGGGTTTATTCCACTTTAAACTGGTTATGTTGTGACTTGGTACAGCACAGTACACCACCTTTTTGATGTGGGAGACGTAAATATGCTGTAGAGAATCATGTATAAGCATGTTGCATGGACTCCTTTGTGTCAGAACCTTCTTCTCTTGATGGTAGTTTGTAATGCCTTTGCTTGTAGTGAATTTTCTGTCTGCATAATATCTAATATTGGGAAGGGAAGTAAATACAGTAATATTTAACAGACTTTCCCTCTGTTGAGTGATTTTATAAAATATCTCCATTTTAGATGAGCTAAACACTCTTCTTGTAGCCTGTTGGTCTCTTTCAATTTCAATAAATTTTTTGTGTATGATTTTTTGATAATTTTATGAACTGTGATAAAATTTTATTTCAGACTGTATTTTTTGTTTTAGTGTTCTGTTTTCAAACATAAAATTTCAATTTAAAATCCGCGCCTGCTAACTGCCTAAGGCATGTATTGTACTTTCTTGAAAGTCATTTTAAATTTTCTTTTTTCAGATGCTCCAAGAATACCTCAACCTGAAGCACCCATCGACCCTACCGAATGTAGACTTAAGCTCTTGGATCATATTGAACATTATCAATCTCTAATTGATGCTCGTCTCACTACCTTGGAACAAATGATTGATGGTAAAGAAACCTTGTCTTCTTTTTTTTTACCACTGTTGTATTTCTCTTTTTCTTTTTTTTGTTGACCTACTTTTTAAATGTTATGTTGCATACTTCCACAGAATTAGAACATGAAGATCCCTCCCTTCTTGATGGCAAAAATTCTGATCCAGTACAATCTGGAGTCAAACAAGGTATGAAACTATCCTATTCATATTTTAACTTTTATTCTTTTCATTACTTAACAAATTTATTTGGACCATAGGTGCCGATTTAGAGGAGACAAATCATTCAGATGAGGATCCCGCTCTTGATTTCCTGCCACAAACAAAGGAGACAGTTCAAATGATCTTACGCGACCTACTGAATTTGAGGAAAATATCTGTGTTCTGTTGATTTATTAGCATAGCATAATAGCATATACTGTATCTATCTGTTTTATTGAAAGGGTATGTAAGTTTATTGGTATCCTAAGTTGAAAAAAAAGAAAAACTTTGAGGAAAAAAACACACCTACTTGTCTTTTTCATATGTTGTTTCATAATGAGATTTTACTAGGTTGATTACATGTAGTAGTCGATTCATATGTATGATAGTGTTGTACACTGTAGAGATAAGTGTTCTCTATGTTGTGATAAGGTAGTTTTCGGTTCTGTACCAAAGCTGTAAGTTGTTGTCTAGTTTACCCTGTATATTTGTACATAATATGAAAATAGATCTACATCTATTGTAAAACATGTACAATGTACATTCTTTT